CAGTATACAATTCAATGCAATGTCTAAAACCATGGGTGTCATCCGGACAACAGGCTTCGCAGTCTGCCAAAGGACAACCTTGTTGCACCACTCCTGGGTGCACATGCAACACATGTTTCACGAATTTTCACGATGTTGCACGATCATTGTGCAATTTTCCGAACCATTCTACACCTCACTTCGGCAGTAGACCCACCTAAAAAGTGAAGAGGCACAGATTTGAAGACCAAACATGTTCCAAACTCGCAACCCATGGCCCATGTCCAACCAAAACCCCAGCCAACCCATTCTACACCTTACAATTCTGAAAAAAAACAAACAGAAAATCAGCTTGAAAACAGCTAAACAATGTCCAAACTCGAACAGAACGCTACTCCACTCGAACAGACTCGCTTCACATCCTTCAGACCGGCCTGGGCGGCGCTCACCCGGCACATCTTCCGGCACAGCACGTCGCCCGCGGGGGAGGGATCCTGGAGACCGAGACGACCGAGACCGGAGAGAGACCGAGGGGTGTTTGGACTCACGCGAGGGAAGGTCGGAGGGTGGCGTTTCGGAGGGTTTCTGGAGACGGCTTGAGGGTTTGTCTGGGTGTATGGGCGAGACGGCTTGAGGGCTTGTTTGAGGGCCACTGTTTGGCTTGAGGTGGGTGGGACTTTTGACCCATGCTGACAGAAATGGCAATGATAGGCAAACGAAAAGGATTTGGAGGGCAAAACAACTCATATATTAGCTTGAGGCAAACGTGCGATTTCGGCGCAATGACACTTCGGACTTTCCAAAGATCACGACCGGTTCCCAAGGTACTGACGACGGGCTCAGAGGGACAGGGATGCAAAATCGACCCGGTGAACCCGCAACATGTGGGTTTTTGATGACCGTGAATTGATAGAACCCAGACACTCCATGTCTGTCATAGGACTGCCGACCCAGAAAGACCCCTCTGGCACCACCCCTGGCCTGATCGGTAAATATGCCAGTCCCATGGGAGTGCCTGGGGAATGGGAAACCGGGTTATAAATCCGTTGGATTTTCACCGGTGATCTCCATTCATGTTGAAAGGGAAAAAAGAGAAACAAACAAAGCAAGACCACCATGGTCGACCACAATAGACCAATGATGTGTTAATGAGAGAGAGGGACAAAGCTATAAAACTGGAATTCTCCAGCTTTAGCTTCTTCCAAACATGTTCCCACTACACTGAAGCCGAGATTTGCGGGTTCGCTCCTCAAAACTGTCCACGTAGAAAAGCCCATCCTTGCCTCAGCCACCGCCGCCTGTTTGGCCCACCCTTCCGCGTGTTTGGGGGGGCACCCTGTAGCGTAACAAACATGCGAAAATCTGTCACCCAAACCTATGACGTGCAGATGGCGAAGATGGCGAACTCGCCCTGTGATGAGTCATCAGACCTATGCGGTCACATGTTCAAAGGCTTCAAAGTATCTGTATGTATCTGCGAAAAACTAAACACAAATGGCAACCGCCAAGAATGCTGGTCACTAGACAAGAGGGTATGGTGTTTCATGGTGCTTCATTCATGGTGCCCTAGACCATCTTTGCCTTATTCGCTATCGAATCCATCGAACTCATGATCAATCGGCCCACATTCCATCGGTGTGCTGCCAAGCTTCCCCAATCGATCTTCAAACTTCTCAGTCTTCGATCCAAAAAGTATTCCTCAGCACATTCAGCTCATGGTTACTGTGGTGTTTCAGATCTGCTCCACATATCATGAGTCAAACAATTGGCTTGGAACTTGGAACCATGATGAACCATGGCCAAACAGAAGCCGTGATGTTTCAATTCATCTCGGGCAGTTTGCCGTCACAAGTGGCCCCTAAGTATTCTATGTTCTTTGAGGACATTTGATCACCTTGCTCCTTTTTTACTCAGCTTTTTCCAGGACATGTGGATTTGCTTAAGGAACCTGGACAAAGAATATTCCCCAGAAGGGGATTTCGCCAGGAGGGAAGCTTAAAAGAATCACCGTGGCATGCCGTTTTGGTTTTCTCCGTCCATCTGCCACGTCCATCCCAGGCCACGGCGTAGACCAACGTGTGGTGGTCGATCACGCCCATCCACAGGGCCTCGAGCGAAGCGCATGGAGTTCCTATCGTTGCAGGGAGACCAGAAGCCGCAAGCGGTTTGAGTTGGGTGGAGAGAATCTGCAGAATCCCGATATTTATCATAGGGGCCTTTATAACTATATAAAGATAGATCAATACGAATAACAAGAAATCAACCATGTTAAATTAGAGTTCATTAGACAATCAGTTGGAAACTGATAACACTTCAACTCAATTACCAACATCAATTCTGTGCTGCCCTCCTTACTCATGAGTGCTAAAAGGGACCCCAAAGAGCGTTGGACCGTCCACCGGCCTGTTGCCAAATGGCCACATGACGAAAGCAGACCCGGTCCTGGCAGGATTCTTGTGCGCAACATGACGCGAGGAACATGTGCGTCCAGCACTCCGGAAAGTCGCTGGCCTAGGGTAAAATGGAAAAGACTAGACCTGGACATCCTTTCCGCTCGAAGTATGGGATCAGCATGGAGATGTCAAAAGATTCTACCAAAGCCGCCAAATCGTGGCTGCGATGCTGGTGAGTGGAGGTTGAAAGGCTTCTTTCAAGGAGAATGGGAGGGGGATGGAGGGGGTATGGGCCTGAACCTATCCAGTCCCAGTCGCCTACTGAGGCGTCACCTCGAGCACGGTGAATCATCGACTGAAACCACTGTACCTGGATCTTCCCAGTGACCTAACTTGATCCCCTGGTTGGTTCGGTCACTTGGAAGAAGCTGGTAACTAGCACAACTCGCAAATGCGGCATGACCAGTTTGGCAAAACAAATCGTTTATCCCGTGACCCCTGCATTATAAACTGTGTGCCTGCCCGCGCACGTGGGTCAACTGCACAGGTCCTGCTCCAGCATATCCAAGTGCTGCACAAGATGAGCTCTCTGATCCCCTGAAAGCCTTGAAGGATGGATGGATGGATGGATGGATGGATGGATGGATGGGTCATGGATCCTTAGAAGGTCAGGTGCTTCAGGGCGGATTGTCTTTTAAAAGAAGTCCTGCCACCAAGTTCTTCGTCACAAGTTCGGGTCTGAGCCTGGGAGGTTAATCATCCATGGAGGCTCGTGGAGTGAGTGAAAACCCCACCTCTGTTGGTCTTTGAAGGTCATAGTCATATGTATGTCATAATCATCCGACATCCGGGCTATGATCACACACCATACCCCATCCACGTCACCATGGATGATTTCAGGGAGTGCACCAACCTGGAACTTCCATGTATAGCATATCTATACCTACAATTCTCCCCAAAATCAACCAGCCCAAGTTATGCACTGTAAAGAGTACATATTCCAGTGCCAAACAGGTTGTGTTTTGGGATGTGCACCCTCCAAACATGGATTCTGACCAGGAGCTCTGAGCTCCATTTAGAGGAACATGTGCTTCCCTTTCGAGGCCGAACAGTTCCACGTCTTAGCAACACAAGAAGCTGCACCAGTGGAGCTTCTTCTCCTTGTGGCCCCCAAGGACTAGACGTGGTGACCTGTCCACGTCAGACCTCTCCTGACCTCTCCTTCGTGACAGGGTCCACCTGTGCGGGTTCTGTTTCAAAAACGTGGAGAAGATACCCTAGGGCTCCTGGCCAACCTCCTGAGAAGATGGGCCAGGGGTGGATGCTAGGGGGTTCTAACCACTGAGGAGATGGGCCAGGAGCCCTAGGGATTGGAGAAACATGGAGAAACGAGCGAAGCGTTTGCAAAACCAACCCTTGAGTGACCACCCTCTGCCACCACCTCCAAACACCGCATTTCTCGCAGCAGCCCAGGGCTCCTGCCACCGCCACCGGCGCCTTGGCTCCCGCACCCGCAGCTCTCGGCGGAGCTGCCTGAGGTGGGTAGAACTTGCTTGGCGTCCAGCCTTGGTCGTGGGCGCCGCTGGCGACCACGTGACCGGCGGATGAGGAAAGCTGATGTGTGAGGTAGAACTGGTGGAAAGCTTCTTGCTTAAAATTCAGCACCCAAGCACCCGCAACAGGATGTTCCCAAAATGGGAATGGAGGGGTTAAACATGACATGGTTAAAACCATGCCTCAGTGACACATTGTGACACATTCATCGGCAAAAACCTCTCACTTGGCATGTTGTAGTACTTTCACCCCGGGCCCCAATGCCGCCAACAACATCTTCCCCACGAGAAATGCCTCCCACATGGCCGCAGTATGCCCCAGTGCGTCAATGGAGACCAACCAAATGAAGACACGGGCGACCAACCTCGCCTGGAATGTACATGTCACAACCACAAACTCCAGAAAAGGGAGAGGCCAAAATGTGATAAAATGTGGTTCCCACCCCACAAAACGCCTACGGATACTTTAGCCGTGTTTGCGATGTGTGGCACAGGCCATGTGGTTTCACCCATCACCTCACCCGCGAGTCCCGCATTTTTCTGGCTGAACTGGACACTTTGGCATTGATCTGCATGAAACGATCGCAGTTGACACTGCGTGTCCGCTGGATTGATGGCTTTAATGGTTTGATATATCGTCTGAATGTGCGCAAAGTAAACAGCTCCAAACTGAAGAGCCACGGAAATGGTTACCATCTAAATTCGTTGCATCCATGCTCGCCCAAGTGTCTTAGAACCACGCCAAGCATAAAAACGAAAGGAACGGGCACAAACGTCGCTGATGTTTGAGGCAAGCAAGTGCTTTGTGTAGTTCAAAGCACTCACCATGTTTGGTTGGACGAGTGAGTGGTTCCCAGTTGAGGGAAAGCTTGACCAACAGGAAGTTCGCGGAACAGCTCAGGTCAAGTTGGGAATCTCCGACCGGTGCGCAGGTTCATGCACTCCGTTGAGTTGAGGAGAGCCAATAGACCGCAAACACACTCAACAAAAAGCACGGGGGCCTGCAACTGCTTGGCTTCCATCTATGCCTTAATCCAGCTTTCCAATTTATCTTTCAGGGTGTCATTTTGCACCACTATGCTACAGGTAGCTGTGCCTCTCTGGCTGCTCTCAGGTCTGATAGCCCAGCAAGGATGAGGGTCGCTGTACTGAGAAGTTGTCCTCCGCTCCTGGGATCTCGATCTGCGGAGTGTCGACGGAGAGAACACGACGATTGAACGATTGACCGATCAAGTTGGTGGTTCAGCTTGGGGTCAATGAACTTTTGTCTATGGCGATGGGTCAAAACCCAAAGCCGCCAGAGCCCTAAAACAAAATATTGAGCCAACATTCAGGCTCGGGGTGGTTGATTCGGGGGCAATGTAGGCACGTATTCTAGTCTGATGGAGTGTCTGAGCAAGGAACTGATAGTCCAAATTAAGAAGATCGGCAGTGTAGCTCCAATGGGGGCCAGCTTGGAAAAGGAACAGCTCAGAGAGAGCCAACCCATTTGTTTTGCGGTCACTATGTACATCCTCAAACCAAACTTTTGACCTTCGTCTCTCCAACAAATCAGCCAAAGAACAGGATGCATGGACATGCCGCAAAAAGTATATCTCCTTGAAAATGCTCAATCAGGTATTCTAAAAAGAGTTTGGGACCAATCAGCGTGCTGCCAATTCCAAAGCTTTATCTCCACGTGCATTGTACACAAATGCAGTGCGCACCAAGCTGAGTGAGGTATGTGCAGGCACTCGTGTTTTTCCGCCAACTCATGTTTCATTTCTCATCACTCTGCACAGTTGCAATCATTTCGACTACCGAATGTGTATAGCCATAAGCAAGCGGGTTAAGAAATACCTGTCGGCTGTATGTAGTGACCGCAAGTGGTAGCACGTAAAAGCAGGTGTTCCGTATGCAACACTCTGAAGGCACGGTGCTGCCCAATTGAGGGGCCCGGTCTGAAGGCATCGCAACGTGCAAATCGGAACCCATTCATTTTGGCCGATGGAGTAACCTCCAATATATCACTGAACATCCCCTGAGAGTCCAATCATGACTCATAGACACCCCGAACTGGTAGTGGATGGACGACCGGGTGGAGTAAGGAAGGACATGGAAGGACAATGAGTCTTTTGCCACAAACCACCACCACTTGGTGGATTATGACCTGCCTATGATCAAACGAGTCAAAACCGGAAGTTCACTAAACATCACGTGGCAAGGCTCTGGCATCCGAAGTGCCCAGCAACGCCTCAAATGGGCACGGTGTTTGTGTCTACCAAAACGATGGCCGGACTGCTGGGGATGGACTTCTCCTTGGTCCTTGTGCTTGTGGCATCACCAAGTCACTGTATATAATGGTATATTAATGCTATATAAATTAGTTGCAAATCTTCGTTACAACACATTTTTGCCCCTTAGAAATGCATCTGCAAGTCCACTCCAAAAGCATGCTCATGAACTCCAAGTGTTCCAGTCTATCTGACTTGAAACCTGAATGCGCGCTTTTCATGAGACGTCTGGCGCACCTTGCGAGCCCCCCCAAAATCCAAATTCATTCACTCCCTGAAATTATGGTGGATGTGGATGGCAGTCTGCCCCTTTTCTTCGGATGATCATGAGTTATCCGAAGACCAAACAGCTGGTGCCATCCGCATAAGCATGGATTCTATTTCAGGGAGTGTCAGGCACAGGGGTGCATCGACCTTCCAATAGCTGTGCACGACCCATGAGAGTTGGTCAGGAGCGTCTGCTTGTCTCAAAGGTTTTCATACCACGGATCTCTGAAATCAGCATCCCAGCAGAGGTGGGTCAGAACCCGATAGGCTATCCTATAGGTACCCCAGGTTTTCCGGGTCCTAGTTCAGGTCACTTAACCTCTGTTGGTCAAGCACACCTGAAGACCCAACCGCAAAAAGTTCAGCCCTCCCAATTCCCAACCTCTGAACCTCCCAAACAAGTTCCGCATTGGAATCAGCCTCATCTGCGTGCCTTTCTCCCCTGTCCCCCACCCGAACGGCTTCCGCCCCAAACATCTTCGAACACCTCCACCTCCAGGTCCATTCCGACTCAAGCACCTGGAAGTGAAGTACTATGTTCCCCTTCCTTGTCTTTTGAGGATTTCATCCTCTTCCTTCCGGCCATGCCACGATTCCACTGCCCACTCCAACCGAACGCTTCGGACCCAAACCGCCTCTCGGAGGATCGCTTCCTGCTCGGCGTTGTGCAGCTTGGGATAACCGGTGGCCGGCGAGGCCGCTGCGCGGCGGCCGATGTAGCGCATGACCAGGTCCTGAAAGCAGGGCCGTGGGGGGGGAGAAGGAAGTTCGAGGGGTTGGGTGGTCTTGGGGTATGTTATTGATGTTATTGGAAGCCTTCTTTTCCTGTGTGTATGTACTTTTATACATGTTTTGTACATGTTCTAATTTCTTGAGAGTCATCCATGCAGTTTGCATCAATGGGAGAGCTGTGCCTGGCACCGATGATGTCTTAGAGTGGAGTGCTTGTGGTGGAGTGCGGTGTTGGAACCACTGACCTCTTTCTGTGCGCAATGACAAACTCTTGATTAATAACCCACCCATGTTGATTGTAAAACCGCTTCAATAAGGGTAGGCTGCGGCGCAACTTGTTGCAAGTCTTTACCACATATCATGCATTGCATGCTGCACTGCAAATATCACTTGCATGCCAAAAGCCTGCAAGTAGTGTCATCAGCCCAAATCAACTGTAAGATTCCGCATGAAAAAGGGGAGGCATGAAGGCATGAAGGGATCAATACAAAAATGGTATGAAGGACCATGAAGGACTTCAGAACCTGCGGAAGATGCAATTCCTGGACATCCGTTTTCGTACCTTCTCCTCAGGTACGGTGAGGACGGAGACAGTCACTGTGATGTAGTTGCCGGCAGGGTCCAGTCGTATCGAACCGACCCGGTTCACCCAATGGATCCCAATGGTGAACCCAGTCGTTCCGAACCAAAAGAGGGTGAACAAACCGAGCTGGGTGAACAGCCGAACTGGGTGAATACACAGCCCAGTCGAAGGGTATTACACCTTGCCCGGATAGGATCCGCACCCTCAAACAAAAACAAGGGTTTGATTCGGGGTCCCTGCCACCCTTGTGAACTAAAGGCTTTCGACCCCTTCGGATAGGAGGGTCCGGACTCGGATCCTTAGGGTGACGTGAACAGCAGAATTGGTCCGAACGACGACTTCCGTCGTCCGTCGACGCGATGGAAGTCGTTCTCCTGGTCAAAGCCTTCTCGAGCCGTAGTGACCTGAGTGGTCCCAAAAGGACTCTGGGTTTGAAAAGAAGAGGAGGACCAAGTGGTCGGAAGTGGTTCATGTCGATGGACTCGGACATGTTTGGACCAAGCGAATAAGGAACATCTACTGTATAATCTTAAGGATATTGATCTAAATTGGAAAGGATAGCCAGGCAAACATCTTCAGTCAAAACACATTTGGAGTCATTGTTGCTGGCGCCTCTGATCCTTTTCTTTCAGGGTGCCGGGTCAATACTGACACCAATTGGACCAACCACCAATCGTGAAGCCTATTAGCATGACATTGCTAGTGACCCATGTTGTTTCACAATGGCAGGTGCAACAGGTCGTGAGGTCAAGCCGTTCACCATATAGACTAGACCGTTCACCATAGACCTTTAGGCAACAAGGTACCAGGTACGTACCACTCACATGGCACTCACAGCAGTACCTCTGTAACTCCAAGTTTGGATGGCGTGATGCCTTCAGGTATTGGCTGCCAAACTCATTATACGATATATACACTCCATACACTCCCTGATACCATCCATAGTTACGTGGACGGCAGTTCGCCAACGACTTTGGATGACCATGAGTTTTCCGAATACACAGGTGGTTGAACTCCAGATCAGTTCAGTCCATCCTTCGGTCCAGAAGCTGGTACCACTCAACAGGGTGGTCAGCAACACGTACCATGTACACCCCCAATCGTTGAAAGAGAAGAAATTGCAACATATGGGAGGTGATCCCAACTGGGCCTAGGGCCTTGTCCTAAACAAAGAAACCCTATTCTCTCACGTTCTCTCTTCCTCCCATGAGAGGAACAGACATGTTTCAGGGCGCCAAACTTGACATGACCAATACTCTGCTCCATGACCGGTGCTCTGCTCCTTAAACCCAACTTTAATCTTTACTGTTTACAGTTTTAGCATGTTTTAGCAGTAAAACTTGACAAAGTTCAACACCACTCACCCAAACTGGTCAACAAATAGTGTCTTAAGTTTACTCATGTTTACTCCCTCTCATCTCATCTCATCTTGTGCGATCTGGTCTTCTACTTCCCCAGGTGCCAAGTGGCAAAGCGAGGCCGTACGTATGCCCAGGGCCCCATATTCTTGGGCTCCTCCTGTGTGGCGACGCCACGTAGTTGTGGGCGACATCAGCTGGGGCGATACGAGCAACTTTGGGAGATTCCCTGCCACTCGCTTCGCGCTTTTGAACTGTTGAGCGAACACCTACCCCTTCGGGTGCCACATGAAACTGTAAACAGTGTGTCATGCGGTACCACGGTCAGTGAGACATGAAGCAAAATGACACACGGCGAGGCCATCGCACGGCCTCGCAGAACGGCATGAAGGAACCGAGTATAGCTCGAACTGCTTGGGCAAAGGGTTCAACCATCACTTGGGACCAAAGGTTCAAATGACATGCCCAAAGGTTCAACCTTAATTCCGTCAAATGCCCAAAGGTTCAATTCATGGATGCTGAGACTGAGAAATGCGAGACGTGAGCGATTTGCAAGTCACACGAGGGGGGACAACCTGAGACCCAAATCTCAAATGATACTGTGGCTGAAGAGCATCACCGTTCACTTCGTCTCCAGGCTGCCTGGCTCTCAAAAGCCACAATCAATGAACTGGTTTGAGGGAACATGAACAGGAAACCCTTAGCTTTCACCCCCAAATCTATGGGTGTCCTGTAGATGTTTTCCTTAAACCAATTCTGGGCCACAAGCAAGGCACTCTGCGGACCCACCCGGCACTTCCGCCTGGCACCAGACCAGCTGCCCTGGATGAACACCATCGCCGATGTCCACATGGGAATACCTTTCCATGACCTGCACCCGCTCCAGTTGCCGGACGACAAGCTGCCCAAAGCTCCACGATGATCAGCTCCACAGGTGTCCCGACGGTGTACGGAACGTACGGAACACGTTCTTGGAAGGAGCGTGAACAGCTGCTACACATCAGCTCATATCCAACAGGCAAACCCTCATGAGCCTCATGGGAAGAAGAACATATTCCCAACATCCTTCGGAAACATCGAAACATCGATGTAGTAGGGTGCAGGCCTTCTTCAATGCTCAACGCACCTTTTGGGGGGATTGATGCAGGCCTAGCTAGTCCATGGTGCACTCCTTGCTAGGCGGAGCCCCATATTGACTCCAGGGGGCGATTTCTCAAGGGCTTCTATTCAGCAGTTTTCTTCACACTGACCTGAAATTATGCATCAATGTACGCAAAAGAAATGTATGTGAACACATAAAAATCGAGGCCCAACCCTTTTCCAAATTCATGGAGCTACCCCGCCATGTCAATCTCCGCCATCCCAAAAATTCCCGAAAAGAAACGGGTTGCGGGGCCTGCTTGACACGGTCAAACGGGAAGGGCGCGAGCTGTTCCAAGGTGATGATGGCCACGTTTTTCAGGCCCAACCTGGTCACGTTTATCAGGCACAACCTGGCCTTGTTGTCTTGTTGGTGGACGCTGTTCAAACAACAGGATGGCGAGGGAGGCTGCAACAAGATGTGGTGGGAGGTGACACCCACAGTAGACAATCTGCATGAGTCTGCAAGCATGTTTGGAATAGCTCAAGTCTCAACTTGAATCTTAATTAACTTGTATACAACTTAAAACACTGAGAATCCGGGCCCTCAGGGTTTTGAGGTCTGGACCCCTTATGGAGGGCCCGACCCCTGCCATGGAGGGCCAAGGATTCCTAAAACCCGACGCTTCTCGCGAGGAAAGCGAACTCCACCCATGCCCCAGTCTGAGTGGATGACCTCTCCCGCTCTGCAACCAACTCATAGTAGATCTTTCCGCTACAGAAGACCAAGCGCTCAACCTGCCAAGGGATTCACCAGGTCACTGGCAACTCATAGCGAGAATGATGATCCAAACAATTCCAAGCACTATATACATGTCACGTAGATAATCTAAAAATCAAGATCCCTAATCCCTACACACATATAGTTGTTGTCAGTGATTCAGCATCAGTTCTTCAATCAATCAGAAGAAGGAGCGTCCTAGCCTATAATAGCGCTAGCCTCTAATTGCCCATTGAAGCCGTTCCATCCTGCAGTTTTTGATCTCCCCGCTTCGGGCGGTTCATCCGCATTCTGACTTCCGAGCCGGAAAACTAAGAGTGAACCACTGAGTCCACTGAGTTAACCTTAAAATTATGATCCCTTACAATGTGATCAATGTGTTTATAATAAACTATTAACTATAGTGAGGAGGATATTCTCTTAACCCAAAATGGTGACCTTCAGGTGATCCACGTACCTCCCAGCTGTTTTGGGCTGGAAGATCTAGGGAATGGTGATCCAGCCTTGTCCGGGTGTGCGGCAATCTCCGGATCCCGCTCACCAATCAAACGCTGGAAGCGGGTGTCCAACTCCATGTCGCTCAAGGGGCTCACGCCTGGGTGGTTGGATGAGGAGACACAGACCCGTCTGGGACTGCGATATATACCGATCAGGCCAGGGGTGGCATTGCGGGGGGGTCAATTGATCGGCATATGGCAGTCCCATGGAGTGTTTGGGATATAAAAACGAGACATGTCAAACAAAAGTTCTATGGCCCAGCCCATGTCCAATTTGCACTTGCCTAGACTTTTGAACAGGCGATGCCTCTCGGCCATCCTAGGCCTGAGCTAAGTTTGCTTGTTGGATCTTGGGCATATCCCATTACCAGCAACAGTGGATGACGATGGCCTTTCTCAAAAATCGTGATAATCGTTTACCGACTGTTACTGGTTGGAATCTATAAGTCTATATTAGTCACCCTAGTTGGATCTATATATAATGCGCAGCTGGAATTCTGATGAATTCTGATGAATTTTGCGAGCCACACCTGAGGAGGTTCACTGGCTCGCATGGTGAGGCGGTTGTATACGGCCAGCCAACAGTGGTCTGTCTGAACAGCCTTTGTCCGCATCAAGAAGACGTACTTATTTACATATCTACACGGGTGGCAGGTATGTGCACAATCTTCCAACAAATTCAGTGAACCACCGAATAGTCACATCCCTACAAATCCATGTATACCATCTCAACAAGGTACGACTGGACCCTGAAAGGCTACATGAGGTCATTCCGTGTCTCCAATCACCGTACCTGAGAGTATGTGGATCGGGCCTCACCGGGCACCCAAATCTTCAGATCTTTCACCCAAACCTCCAGTCGTACCGAACCTGAGCAGGTGGGACTGGGGTGGATTTGGAGAGCTCCCAATACCTGAGGCACGACTGGAGGTGTGCCTGTTCTTCACGTCTCTCACCGTTTCAATCCCTGTCACACTGCCGGAGCCGGAAGAGGTTCTTCGGAGAGGCCACGACCATGGGTTTCCTGCGTTCCGGATCGGCGGGGCCACTGGTGGCCTCTGCTGAAGCACTGCACCCGGGCCACCGCGACTTGGCGTTCCTACTTGGCCTAGAAGAAACACAGGTTTGTAGGTCCCTAAAGCCTAAGAGGAAAGCAGTGCAAATGATACAGCTGGAAACATGCGGATCTTTCCATACCAATAATACATGTCATAATGCTTACAACCTCCGACTGGTGCTGCCTGCCAATACCAGCGCTCAATCATTCTCTCCAGCAGAAAGTGAAAACAAAGGAAACATAGGAAACAATGACCCGGCAGGGAGTTCGTTCGTGGTCCTGTCTTGGCCCGTGGATTCCTGTCATCCAACCATTCCAATCACCATGGCCTCAAAGACCCCCCATGCTCACAGGTGCCATTCCCAGCTCCTTCTCCCCACTCGACCGCTCCGAGTGCCAAAACATACCGAGCTCTCTCTCCGTGGCTCCTTCATGCTCCTTCTCCCTTGATGGGGACTGGGACAGTGATCCGTTCGTACATGATATTTGTATAGCAAACTATAGTGACTGTAAGTAGTACGATGGTGAGGGAGTGCATCTCCAAGCGCCTTTGAGCCGAAACAAACCAACCCACCAGTGGATTGAAAACCTCCTGCAGCCTTTTTTCTGTCCGCATCATCTCTGAGAGTCTCGGCTTCTTTTTGGTTGGCGCGAGTCCCAGCATGGCATTGGTCTCCGCCTCTTCCAGCACTCCCTGCAAGCTCGTCCACTCTTCAGCCCTCCAACAGGCCTCTGCCAGGACCTCTGAGGCCACGGCATCAAACAGGGAGGTCGGCGACAACGACAACAAGTCGGAGGCCAGGGTCCAAACAGACCAGGAAGCACAGCTGGCAGCAGCTGCGGTGAAGGATGGAGACAGGGGAGTGAGAGTTGAGAGACTTAGAGCTTGCAAGGCATCTGGCCAAGACCATCCCTTCTTCCATGCATTCACCGCTGTCCCTTGAGACACTCCATCCCATCCATGGCCACACTTGAGTGTGGCAAGAGCTCGTCGCCAAGCGCTGCCACTCACGGCGGCCGCGGCCGTGGCACTATGCATCACCTTGGATTTGCTCGTTTCGGAACCTAGAACACTGAAACCCCAGGTTAGAGGATTTACCCAAAGGGGAATTATATAAAACAAAAGAACACCTTCAGCAAAACCAGGTCACCAAGTTGGGACGTAGGGCTTTACGGCGGTGAGCGACCAGCAGCTGCAGCGCTTGAGGCCAAACTTCTGAGGCTTCACAGGCACTTAAGACCGAACCCAAGACCACCGTGTTGCAGTCCGCACGTGCGCGACTTGCGCACCCGGCGCGCAGTAAGAGATCACCAGCAAGGGGCCAAAGACCGGCGCGGTCTAAGGCATGAGCACAGCTCCCGAGACTCACCACATTGGAATTGTCCAGCATTGCATGTGAGCGGAGGGCTTGCGGCCAAGGGAGATGGCGAAGGGACACGTTGCTGGCCACCAGAGTAGGTTTGAGGCCCAGGCGCCGTATCATCTGGAAGATGCTCAGGGACCGTAGCCATTGGACACCTTCACAACTGCTCATCGTTGCAGTTGCCGCAATGACACTCACCTGTAGTAGAGTCTGAAGCTCCAGAAGCAAAGCTAGAGCAGACTGCCACCTGGAGCTTTCTTCGAAGGAGCTCATGCATGCGCCATAGAGAATGACATTAGTACCTAGCCCAGAACTTCGAGACCTCTCCAAGAGCTGCAGGGTGCCACTCCAGTGGCCTGCACTCATAATTGCTCCCATGGAGATGATGCTGGGTTCCATCCTCACACTGAGCTCCTGGAAGAGCTGTAGGGCCTGTTCCCATTGGCTGCTTTTCTGATAGCTGCTCATGGCTGCGTTCATGGTGATGGTCTGGCAGCGCAAGTGATTTTCTTGGAGCTCTTGGTAGATCCTCAAAGCCAAGGGCCACTGAGCACACTTCTCGCACGCACTGATGCAAGTGTTCATTGAGATGATGTCTGGCCTGACTCGGTCGTGTCTCGGTTGCGTCTCGGATTCGGGTCGTTGCCGTGTGCGGATGAATCAGAAAGCGACCCCCTCAACGAGGAAAGAAAAGTAATGGTATGATGGAAACTGATTGAGCCATATCATATCTGGTCATTCCAGATGCTCCCAATAGTCCCGAGTTCTGTGCACAATGGTAACAGGATTGAACAAAGACACTCTGAGCTTAACGACCATGTGAACAACATTTCGAAGAGGCACAGGGCTAGGGTGGTTTTGGGATGTTTTAAGGGTCTACAGGTAAAACATCCACTGTTGGGGGTGGGCACTTGCATCTCCAAACGCGCCTTGACTCATGACCGCTTGAGGATTGACGGGAACGCACCAAGCTCATGCCGTATTCTGAAGCATTCTGGTTAGTCAAGACGGGAAGCTCTCGCGGTTTCACAACCAAGGCTACTAGTGTACTACTACCACTACTCCTCCTCCTGTTGCTACCGCTGCCACGAAAATCATATCCCCTCGATCATTCCTCACATGGCTCGGTGCGCCTCAACCTCTGCCCTTCCATGGCCATGAGCAGCTCCAAGACTTCTGGCCACCGCTGAGCCTTTTCGCAAGCACTCATCGCCGCGTTGACGATGATCACATTGGGCTCTGCGAGACCTCCAATTTTGGAGGCAGGGCTGATGTAGACGAATAAAAGCCCTTATTTGGATTGAACCACCTTTTCATAGGGTTTTATGACGAGAGCAGGAATATGTATATATGTACTGTATATATGATGAAAACAACGCAATCCCAGGGTGTCCCCTTCTGATGAATCAAGAGTCTACATGGTTCTTCATGGGCTTTCTCGCACCAAGCGAGAAGGGGGCCACCTCCCTGGTGCATCTTGAGGCCTTTTAGGATATTCCGATCTTCACATGACTTAGGGCACACCTTGCTTTGGCCAGCCCTCACCATCGCCAATCATACATGATGCGATGGACACCCCATTTAGAAAAAGCATTTCTCGGTGACTCGAGCAGTTGGGGAGTCCCAGTTTAGCCATGATTCGAGCAAACTACATGATTGCCAAGTCCCATCAGAAGGTGAATGTGTCAAAAGTGTCATCGCCTTGGATGCCTTCTTCTCATGACCACCATATATTATATGTGATTATATGTGGATATATGTGGACCTTCCAACTTTCCAAGATGTCTGCCTTCTGGCTGCCTTTTTGATAAACCTGTGGTGTGAAGATATGGAAGATCACGAGAGATCCAGGTATTTGGATGGTTGATTTGATGTGATCTGAAGGCCACGTATGGTAAAAAAGGGAGTAGGATTCTCCTTCGTAGCACCCTGACCGCGCCTTGCAACACATGCAACGCCTCTTCCCATTGAACTGCACGAGCACATGCGCTCAAAGCACGTGTGACCGCGGGGCCCTCGAGCCACTGCATCAGCCATGGCTCTTGGAGGTGATACAATGAGGCGACAGGACAACGGGTGCACTGTAGAACTCAGGTACATCCCATTCCACATGAGCTCAGTGAATGATGGATGTGGTTAGGTTACAGACCTTTCTCCCAAAGAGTGATCATCCTTGACTGACTGTTAGATGTAATTAATGGGACATGTCACGTGTCATAGAACACTAAGGGGTGCAAAGTACCGAAGTGGGTTCTTAGTACATTCTTGGCTGCTGTTTCCTCTGAAGTGGTGAGTGGAACTTGCTTCTGTAAAGAGCTTGTATTGTTGTGGTCATTCTCCTGCAAATCTGTAGGCACTGTAGGCTATTCCATATATGCTGTGGGATGAAATGGCAAGTTCAAATAACAAGGTGTGGGGAATCTCGTTCACGTGTTGATCGAGTGGTCTGCACTGTGAGGTCTACACTGATCGAGCCAGCTTGGCTCTGGTGTTCAAGTGGGGTGCACACCCCAAAAACACTAGGACCATTTGGTATGATGTGTGTCATCATCCCAGAAACAGGCAGTGCTTTAGTAAAGGAATCCACTAAAACACATGATGTTTGGCCTGTTATGAGGTAGGGTATCCAAGGTTTGGTACACCCAGTCAGGAAAGCTGTTGACAAACTGCTAAGTTATAAGCTCTGGTGGAAAAAGTCAACAAACGTTGTACCTGCACCAAGAGCCTCTTTCAGGTTGCTATGAACATCTGACCTTGACGCAAGAAATCTGGCATCACCTAGGATGTTCTCAAATCATGCAGAAAGTATGTATCAAACCTGACGCTGTACGTTCTGCACCGTTCCTTTGTGTAAAACCTGCTGTCTCTCAACAGCACCCCTAAGCAAACCAAGCGATTGCCAAACCCTACTCTTTTTGGATCACCACATCAGACCCACCCTCCCCGCAGAAAATCAGAAGTTTTCCGGATGCCAAACTCCACTGAAAAGATCCATCACCCGTCCAGCCAACAAAAAAACACCACTGAGGAAATGTAGGTATATATATATACTATATATCTGATTCCATACCAAACACCACTGTGTCTGGGTGCTTCGAACCTGCCTGAAGTCTCGGTGCTGCTGCCGGCGCAGGGCATCGAAGTAGTTGGCCGGAGTGGACAAGTTCATGACCTTGCGGAGCGCTCGAGGTTCGCAACGCCGTCGCGCTTTCGCCGTTCGTTCTCACTCCTCAGCAGCAACCTGCCTCCCTAAGAATCATTGGACCCGACCACTTCTGGAGGGTTTTGACCCTGCAGAACGCAGGGGTTTGGAGCCGAACCAAACCTTCACCTTTGAGGGTCCTTGATTCTTAGCGCTGCAACTCATCATGGAAAAGTAATGAAACATACCAGGACCATCCTGTTGGACTACCCTCCACTACTCAGGGATCTCTATTGGATATCCATTGGGTCGTCCAGATATGAGTCCTCTGGAAGATGCTTTTTCCTCTACAAACTGGGGCTTGTCCAGATTCTTGCGGGGTGCATGCCCCTTTCGTCCGAGTCCTCGTTGGGGCCTCCATGCTGTACTCGAATCGGACCTGTCTGGAGCATTCAAGTCAGTCTAAAATTTCTGTTCGGGTAGGTGATCCACTTCCTGAGTAAGGGTGCCCGTACAAACCAAAGACACTCCATGGGACTGCCATATTTATCGCATTTGGGGAGGCTGACGCTGGGGTCTAGCCATGAGACCACCAGGTGTTTGGGACCACTGGGGACCGCGGAAGTCCGCCTGCCAGTTGGCCCTCTGCGCTTGCCGCCGGCCGAAGCCGTCTGCAAAGTCGGGGATGTCATCCTCAACCGTTGGGCATCGGGAGGCTCCGGTTAGTCCCTAGGGCTCCTGGCTCACCTCCTGAGAAGATGGTTGGGGTGGGTGCCAGGGGTCTAACCACCGAACCTGAGGATGGTTGGAGCCCTAGGGAGTGTAGCTTGGAACGCCCACTGAGAGGTGTTTGTTCTCAGGCGCGGTACTGTTTCCAGCCCCCTACCGTGCCAAAGAGGTGGGACATGTTGAGATGAATGGGAAGATATTGGAAGGTGGGACGGTTGGACAGTCCATCGTATGAGATGTTTGTCAATAATGCACTCCCTGAATCCGTCAGAACATCGAAGTGGATGGTATTCGGATCTCATGTTCATCCTCTCCATGCCATCCAACCATGATTGTTCCAGGGAGTGTGCTCCAGCTACTCCTGAATCTCCATGGAACACAAACTGTCAATACTGTAGATTGGAGTTTGGAATGGTATTCAGCGACGGTTCCTTCACTCCTCATTTTACAGCTAGCATTCCCTTCCCTCATGGCGTTCCTCGTTGCCAACGTTACCATTGGGGACATCCCTCGTTGATGCTGATGCTGGCTTCAATTTTTTAGCCGACTACGCAGCCTACGCGGCCAACGCTGCCATCGCTTGTCACGCTTGAGATGGCTACAATAACTATTTGCACTCTACCTATTGAAGCCCTTCATGCGTCTACTTGAGACTGCAGCCACAAATCCATCTGTATCCTGTTTAGTCCCCCTCCAACCTACAAGCAATCACCAGAGCTCATTCTGTGCGTGATTTCCAGTTTGCAGCAAACCATCCCTAGCACTATCCATATCGCCATCCCACAAGACTTATAGGCACAAAAGAACGGAGCTGAACCGGGGCCATCACCGAAAAGCTGTTAAGCTTGGCCGTCTGTAGCTCACCGGCCTCGTCATCATCCGAGAGCTGTAGGAAGCGCTCGATGCGGCAAGAGGAATGTTCGGCTCCTTGTCCCATGTAGCCTGCGAGGAGCTTCGATCAATTCGCCGAAAGAGCTTGAGGCAGGATCAACCGTATACACACCTGGGTGGAACATTGGAACTGCAATCAGTCCATAACCAATCCCTGTTAAACTTCTTAGGACCCTGGCCAAAAAAGTCTTTGCATGTTTATGCTACGAGCATTTAAGTTGCATCTTCTATTCGCCCAACGGCTGGGTATTCAGGGTTGCCAATAGCACAATCATGTTTTTTGAATGGCGATGCACATTTGCCTGACAAACTGACATTTTACCTCCCGAAGAGATGGGTCAAAAGCTGACAGCCTGAATGATCATTCGATCTGGCATGAACGAGATTAAACAACTTGTCCTTCCTTCCTGGTGTTGACCAGGAAGCTCGCACCACTAAAACACTGTGGATACAATCATGAACAAACTAAGCTGTTTTGACATGTCCTGAGACACGCTTCAGTTCCTTCGCTCCTTGTTGAAAAAGAACCGCCAACAAGGGCACCGCTACAAGTAACTAAGGGCATTACTAGTAGCAAGAAGCTACTAACTTCTTGCTACGCGTAGAAGTAATGCCCTTAGTTACTAGTAGCACCAGAGCCACTGGCCGCTGACTGGCCCTTCCTTCCGGATTCGTCTGGCCTTTCGCCGCCCCGCGACGCTCGAGTTTCCTTTCCCCATCGGGCCGTGGGGTAGCAGCATGACCAAGCCCGACTGCTGAAGCCACTTGTGCTCTCCAGCTGAAATGAACTGGTCCGTCATGACCTGTGAGAAAACCCAAAGCGTCAAAACCTCCGTGGAGCGGTGGGCGGGTGGTTTCAATGAAAACGAAACCAGAAAAAGGGTCGGTGGCATCAATCATCTCAAGTAAAGGTTGAATCATGTTAAACATAAAAGGCCTTTCGCCAGTAGGGATGGGGAGAAGACATGCTGAAAAAAACAATTCAAATCAACTGGAACCCTGCACTAGGACTCCCACTAGTCACTAGGAC